CCCTATTTTCCCTCCTAACAAAATAGCCCTCACCCACCTCTTTTAACTTCCTTCTTGCTATCTCTCCCTTCTCTTCCCAATCATGTATGTTGCGCAAGTACTCTAAGGAAAAGCAAGGTCAGGCCCTAGTAACTGACATTCTCAGGCGTCTGAGAGAACGAGACCTTAAAGGTCTAGGGTTTGTAGATAAGCGGGTTGGAACTGGTATGTAGAACAATTGTGGCCATGACATAATCCACTCAATGTTCAACCGGAGAACATAGGTTGGGGCATAAGAGTTGAGTAACACCGTAACCCAACCTCCCCAACTAAGCAAGCATTCATAAATAATGATCAATAAAGCTATGGGATGTGAAAAATTAGCAATAAATTTCTTTATGAGTGTATCCATTGTAAACCTAATATTAAATAAATAAAAGTGTCTTGTCTAACAACTTGAACTATAAATTCGACTTGCACATAATTCAACATGACATCAAGCTAACCTTTGGCAAATCTGTTTTCACACTTGTAAGTCAACGTTAAAGTTTTGTGTGAACTCTAAAATGTGGTTATACGTGCAAGAGGATGTTGAGTTAAATAAATGGTTCATATCAATTGTACCAGGAAATCCAAAAAGGTTAATAAAGGAATTGGCTCACTCTACTCATAGTCTTACAAGTTTATGTTAGAGGCTGAACTTCTTTCACATGGTATCAAATCATGCAGTCTCATTCTTGGAAGAAATTCGGCTTGCACGTGAGGAGGCATCTTGTAAACCTATAAAAAATTGTATCCCATCTCTACAATTTATGCTTTACACAAACTTATCAACCCACTGTACCTTCAAAATTTAATCAAAAATTACACTTAAATTCAACTAAGAATGCATATATAAATTATGTAAATGGATCGACACCGTAATACTAACATCTCAAACTGGTCAATATCTAGTATCCACACCGTCAATTGAAGAACACTATTAAGTATGAATTTGATTTAAAATAAAATGAACCATATTTAAATAATGAACAAGCCAAAGACCATTTCCTATAAATCGTGAGCACAGCAAAGGTGGAGAACAACGATTGTGAAGAACAGTCTAATCTAAACTTGGTCAATATGAAGTCCCCCGCTTCATCGGGTTCCAATCATTACAAACAAGGATTCCTTTAATGCACCACATCTAAACAATTTAATCAGAGGAATTGAGAAGCATTTATGGCAACACTTCCTAAATCTCTTTTTCTCTAGTTTACAATTCAAATCTATAGATCCAAAGTGACTTGAAAAAAATGTGCTTCGACCCGTTTGCGGACCCTGTGCATAGCGGGAACTTAGTGCACCGCGCTACCCGTTATAGCTCAGATATATGCATCAACTATTCTCTTTTCCTCTACAACCTCATTTTCTGCTCTTATTTTCGTACAAAGTTCTGAATATAAAGAACAATTTGAAAGTGACAGATTGAAGTTCTAACAAAAGAACAATTTGAAACTGATGAATCAAAATAAAATATGTTCTTAGAAGAATTTTAATGGCTCGGAATTATTCCAATAAGTACCTAATAATTTAAAGCAATTTCCGATGGCTTTACATTACTCTCTTCAGGTGCTATTCGAAATCCTTTCCTAGATCAACTACTGAACGTTGCATTCCAAATCCATTTTACAATTAGTTTCAGTAGCTTCGAAATCCTTTGGTGCAATTAATTTGTTAAGTAAAGGAGTATACAAGTACCTGTCAATAGTTCTTCCTGTAAATATGACAGGAAAGTATCTTGAGTACTTTCCAACGCCAAAGTATTCTCCTATCTGCTGTATTTTGGTTGAGTCCATAACTACCAAAGCCTCCCAAAGCTGGCAATACTTCAATCTGAAATCCTCATCCAAGTGCTTACAAATCCCAAAATCTAACAGAACTGCAAATAAGCAGAATATCCAAGGGAATCTTTATTTGACAAAGGTGACCTTTTAAAGAGAATAGGTAGCTTAAAGAAAGGAATAGATGCATACCTAAAGAAAA